GTCCAGTTGTGAGGATTTTTGTTTTATGTTGAGGTGTAATCCATATTGAAGCTGTGGTCTTTGATCTTATCAGTAAGTGCTTCAAGTCTTCTTTACTTTCAGCAAGAAGGTTGTGTCATCTGCACATCGCAGGTTTTTAATGAGTCTTCCTCCAATCCTGATGTCCCATTCTTCTTCATATAGTCCAGCTTCCCAGATTATTTGCTCCGCATACAGATTGAATAGGTATGGTGACACCTTGAAACCCTGAGACACACATTTCCTGACTTTAAACCACACAGTATCCCCTTGTTTTGTTTGAACGACTGCCTCTTGATCTGTGTACAGGTTCCTTATGAGCACAATGAAGTGTTCTGGAATTCCTATTCTTTACAATGTTATCCATAATTTGTTATGATCCACACAGTCGAATGCCTTTGCATAGTCCATAAAACACAGGTAAACATCTTTCTGGTATTCTCTGCTTTCAGCCAGGATCCATCTGACATAAGCAATGCTATCCCTGGTTCCGCATCCTCTTCTGAATCTGGCTTGAATTTCTGACAGTTCACTGTCAATATACTGCTGCCTTCGCTTTTGAGTGATCATCAGCAAAATTTTACTTGCATGTGTTATTAATGATATTGTTTGATAATTTCTGCATTTGGTTCTTCACCTTTCTTGGGAATAAGCATAAATGTGGATCTCTTCCAGTTGGTTGGCCAGGTAGCTGTCTTCCAAATTTCTAGACAGACAAATGAGCACTTCCACTGCTGCATCTGTTTGTTGAAACATCTCAATTGGTATTCCGTAAATTCCTGGAGCCTTGTTTTTTGCCAATGCCTTCAGCATGGCTTGTACTTCTTCCTTCAGTACCAGCAGTTCTTGATCATATGCCGCCTCCTGAAAAGTTTGAACATTGACCAGTTCTTTTTGGTATAGTCACTCTGTGTATTCCTCCTGTGTTGTTTAATATTTTCCCCGTAGAATCCTTCAGTGTTTCAACTTGAGGCTTGAATTTTTTCTTCAGTTCTTTTAGCTTGAGAAATGCTGAGTGTGTGCTTCCCTTTTGGTATTCTATATCCAGGTCTCTGCACATGTCATTATAATACTTTACTTTGTGTTCTTGAGCTGCCCTTTGAAATATTCTGTATAGCTCGTTTACTTCACGATGAAGTAAATGAGTGCATTATTTAGTTTCCATGAATTTATTCTTTTTTCTTATTTATCCTGTTCTTGATTTCTAGTTTCATACCATTACGGTCAGAGAAGATTTTTTGTATGATGTCAGTGTTTTAATATGTATTGAGACTTGTTTTGTGTCCTAGCATGTAATCTTTTCTGGAAAACGATCCATGTGCACTGGAGAAGAATGTGTATCGTTCTGATGCTGGGTGGAGTGTTCTATATATGTCCACTAGGTCCAATTGACTTATGGTTTTATTTAAGTTCTCAGTGTCTTTACTGATTTTCTTTTTAGGTGTTCTGTTTATAATTGAAAGTGGTGTGTTGAAGTCTGCTACTATTATTGTGGAGTTGTCTGTTTCTCCTTTTGTATTAGTCGGTATTTGTTTTATGTATTTTGGTTCATTGCTGTTAGGTGCATATGTATTTATAATTGTTATGTCTTCTTGCTGAATTGACTCTTTTAATATTATGTAATGACATTCTTTATCTCTTGTAATAGATTTTGACTTAAAGTCTATTTTATCTGATTTCAGTATAGCCACGCCTGCTCTTTTTTGTTTACTGGTTGCGTGGAATATTTTTCTCCATCCTTTTATTTTCAGTCTGTTTGTGTCCTTACGTCGAAGGTGTGTTTCTTATAGACAGTAAAAGGATGGATCATTTTTTTTTTAATCCATTCTGCCAGTCTTTGCCTTTTGCATGGCACGTTTTGACCATTAACATTTAAGGTTATTACTGAAAACAAAGTGTCTGCCTCACTCATTTTGCTGTTTGCTTTTTGAGAGTTTTTTATCTTCTTTGTTTTTTGATTCTGATTTTTCTGTTTTTGTTTGTATTTGGGTACTCTTTTGTGAAGAGCTTGTTTGTTATCTTCTTGTCTTCTGAATGTTTCTTCTTCGTGATTTGTTAATGATTACCACATATGTTACATTACAGAACTTGGAATTACAACATTTAACATATGAACAAGAGTTAACATACAACCTTAACATAATAAATTTATTCCTGGTAACCCTCGTCCCCCATTTGTGTTGGTGTGTCTCCATTAACATCAATATCAACCTGTATTCAATAATTTTACTTTGTACTCATTTCTTAATGCTATTGCCTTTCCATTTGGAGTATTCCCTTGAGTAATACTTCCAAAGCTGGTCTGGTAGTGGCAAATTCCCAGAGCTTATGTTTATTTGGGAATGTCTTGATTTCCTCTTCATTTTTGAATGGCAACTTTGCTCAGTAAATAATTCTTGGTTAGCAATTGTTTTGGTTCAGTATTTTGCATATGTTTCTCCATTGTCTTCTGGCCTCTAGAGTTTCTGGGGAGAAATATGCACTGATTGCTATGAATGCCCCTTTGCATGTTATAGTCCATTTTTCTCTTGCTGTTTTCAGAATTCTCTCCTTGTCTTTGGTTTTCAAGAATTTTATTACGGTATGTCACAAAGTTGATCTTTTTGTATCTCTTCTGATTGAGATTCATGTAGCTTCCTGTATTTGCAGGTGTGGTTCTCTGTTCAGGTCTAAGAATTTCTCTCTGATTATCACTTGTAAAATTATTTTTGTGCTTTTATTGTTGTTATAGTGGTCCGGGATTCCAATACTTCTAATGCTAGATTTCTTAATTGAATCCCATATTTCCTTTTGGGTTTGTTCGCTTTTCTTTGTTCTTTTCTCTTGTTTCTCTTGAGACTTGATATGTTCAGTTAGTTTGTTTTCCAGTTCACTTATTTTCTCTTCTGTCTGTTCCACTCATTGTTGAAAGTTTCTGTTGCTTTTTCTAATTCAGGTGTTTTATTCTTCAATTCCCTTTCTTTTATGTTTTCAATTTCTCTGTTAAGTCTCTCATTTTTTCCTCCATTTGTTTCCTGATCTCCACTATTTTGTTTTCTGTGCGTTTTTTGCTTTCTTTAAAAATAGTTAGCACCATAGTCTGAAAATTATCAATTCTTTGTATTATTCTGGCCTCCCTAGAAGAGATTTCCTCTTCTTCATATTTTGCTTTTGATTGTTCCCTCTTCTCTTGTGATTTTATGTATTTTACTATCTTTTGTTGAACTTAGGCCATTTTGTTATCTTTTTTTGTTGTTTTATTGTTATTTTTAAATTTCATCAAAGGCTCACAGCCCTGGGAACACCACAGGGCAGCTTCTCTCAGGGCTGCATTTTTGCTGTAAGTCAGAACGACCTAGCAGCAACAAACTTGTTGTCTTCTCTTGAGAACCACTAGATTGCACTCTTATTGTTAGGCTTTTTTCAGTGCTGGCTCGGGATTTCTGGATGCTTGGTCTCTGGAATTCAATACACATGTGCAGGAGGGTTAGCTATTTGCAGATGCTGGCATAAGTGGTGGAGCTTGATTTCTTGTGGCGACAGTGGTGGGACCCCTGCACAGGCACTCCCATGGTTTCTCACTGTGGGCCATCACTGTGTTTCCTGGCAGTCTGAAGTATTCCCCTTGCTCTGCTGCCCTTACAGTTCCTCCTAGTACTAGTGACCATTCATCTCAGCCTCAGCAAAATTCAACAACACTCCTATGCTGTGCCATAATCTCCCTTTGCCCCATCCCAATTACATGGCCTGCAAACTCCCATCGCCAATTTGCACCACCTTAAAAAAAATCAGTGTAGAGCTTCTTCAGATTAGCTCCTTTTCTGTGTTTTCTGTTTAGGGTGTTACCCAGCCCTGTCCCAAAATGGCTGCAATGAATGAATGCTCCTGATATTAGTGAGTAGGATTTCCCAGTTTCTGTGCCGACTCTGTTCTTCCTCTGCCCCACTTCTAGACTCACTCTGACTCTCAATACCTCAGCTACTGTTCAGAGTTCTGAGACTTAAGTCTGTGTTTGTTTTTATTTGTTGTTCAGTGTGTTAGTTGCTGGGGGAGTAAATGGGAGCATCCACTCGCTTCATCATCTTATTCCACCTTCATTTCATTTATTTTTAAGCCCAAATACATAGTCAAAAAAAATGTGGTGTACATAAATATATATATTTATATATATAATGAATGGTGATATTATGTAAATATACCAAATTTTTCACTATAGGATATAAATATGCCAAGTTACAAAATTCTCTACATTTTTGTCATCTTAAAAAAGGACCTCTTCAATAAATATTAAAATCATTTTTGGCTTGATACCTTATTACTATGAGTTTTAAAATTTCATTTTTATAAAATGCATTAACTGACAAATAAAACAGGGTAATTTCTAATTCTTGTGATTTAAATGAATTGGCATTCTAATAGACCTATCCTCATATACAGTTATTTTTTTTAATTGGGTAATAAGCCCCTCTCTCTGAGTCAGAATCAACTCGATGGCAATGGGTTTGATTTTTTTTTGGTTTTGTAAATGGCATAAGTTCCCTAGGTGGCACAAACAGTTAAGCATTAGACTGCTAACCTAAAAGTTGGCAGTTTGAACCCACCAACAGTACATGGAAGAAAGACCTGGTCATCTGCTTCCATAAAGATTACAGCCAAGCAAACCCTATGGAGCAGTTCTACTGTGTAACACATGGGGTCAACATAAGTCAGAATCAACTCCATGGCAACAACTTTTTTGTTTTTGCTTTTGTTTCTTTTTGTAAATTATATAATAGTGCCTTATAGACTAAATGTTATAAAAGCAGAAAGTCTGGAATGTAAAATAAGCATTAAGGGGACATCTTATCTGTTCTTATAGTTCCTGAATAGATTCATCTAACCAGAAAATACTGATGTCTTCGTCTATTTTTCTGGCTTTCATGTTTTTCATTTAGTCTTCAAATATTAATTTGTTATTTTGTCATTCAGGTCTAGTAAAATATCTCTCTCTCTTTCAATTTCAGGTGTTGATTTTATCCCGGGTTGTACCACATTGTGGCAATAATATACCTCCCTTACATGTACAAAATACACCAAAAGTCAATCCTTGTTTTGCATCTAGCAACATATATTCTACTTCTGAAAGGGTTCTGCTTAGTTGGATGAACACGAATTATGAAAATACCCGACATATTATATGGAGAAACTGTCACACAGGTGAGAAGTTTTCTTTTCTTTAAATAAATCATTGAAAATTGTAGTATGACAATACAGAAGAAGCCATGGGACAGGACTCAAAATCCATGGATTCTACACCTAACTTCAGCAGTTATTCCCTGTTCTGCAAAAAGAAGCCCACTCCCTTAACATCTTCAAGATCAGTTTCTTCACATATAAAAAGGAAATAATAAAAAATGCTTGTTGAATTTATTGTGAAGAATACATGATAAATAGCATGTAGACACGCTCTAGAGATGAAAGATAGCCTTAATATCATTGGTGGCATTTTCAACTGTTTAAATTAGTAGGTTTAGATAACACTGTTCAAACCTTATACATAGTCAAGATCAAGTTGAAACTTGAGTAAAAAGTATCCTATATGTGGTCATGAAATTTTTTGAGGGGAGGCATGTTATGTTAGGTCCATACACTAAGACGAGTAGGTGTCCACAGATAGACCAGCTCCAGTTAGGTGGCTCTCCCTTGTTCTTTCTCTTGAGGGATGAGACTCTGCCCTAAAAACCTTGAAATTTTTTTGAGAAAAGTTTCAATTTGCAAATATAGCTGTGTATATTGTCTTCCTCATAAGCATTGAGTATAGTGACAAGAAGGATGGTGTGCATGTTAATTACTCCTTTAGCTTTAATATAGCCTCCCTCTTCCAAGTACAAGGAGTCCTGGTGGCACATCAGTTCAGCACTCGTCTGTTACCTGAAAGGTTGGTGGTGCAAACCTATGCAGTGGCTTTGTAAGAGAAAGACCTGGCAATCTGCTCCTGTAAAGATTACAGCCTAGAAAACCCTATGGGGCAGTTCTCCTCTGTCATGTGGGATCACTATGAGTTGAAAGGGACTTATCGGCACCTAACAACAACTTCTAAGTACATATGAGTCTGTTGTGTTCAGATTAGATTTTGTTTTAACGTATAATAATTTTTTTTTTGTTTTTTTTTACACCCAACCCTCAGCGTGTAATACAAACTATAGAAGTACAAGGAAGGTGATGGTGCAATTTAAAATGTGAATTCGAATTCCAGTTGCTCCTAACTTGAAGGCATTACTTTAGAAAGCATAGTGACATAGAGATTAAGAGAGATACATTGACATATTTGTATTTGAGATCAGTAAACATAGAATATTGATTACCTTGTAATTGGTAATGATAATATCAAACATAATTTGACTTGAAACAGCAATTTAATAAGAATTATATCCATAAAAATGTATTTGGCTCATTCAAGTGCACAGACAGCAAGGTGTGAATATATAGTAAATAACGTGGGCTACACAAATACACGTAAAACTAGTTTAATTACTGTGGAGTCGCACTTTAATCAGAGTTATGAAATATGTACATGTATTATAAATTAATGTATTCATTGGTTATAAAATTATTCCAGTTACATTTTACCAATAGCATGGTCTATGCAAGTTAATCTCAAAGAGTTGGCTGCATTTTTTAAGAATAATGCATTATAGGTTCTGGCCCCTTAGCTGTTTTTTAAATGTTTTTTTAACAAACTGAGCCCCTCTGCCTTTGTAACCCTTTTATACTCCTATCTCCCCTGTTGTTGTGTGCCATCAAGTTGATTCTGACTCGTAGCGACTTGATAGGACAGAGTAACTGCCCCATAAGGTTTTAAAGGTTGTAATCTTTATGGAAGCAGACTGCCACATCTTTCTTCCACGGAGTGGTTAACAAGTTCAAACTGCTGACCTTTAGGTTAGCAGTTGAGTGCTTAACCATTGTGCCACCAGGACTCCTTCCTATTCCCCCCTGCCAGGAGCATTATTACTTCCGGTATCTTCATGGTCCTCTTTCTCTCTTCATTCAGGTCCCCTCTCAAATGTCACCTTATCTGAGAAGCTTTCCCAATACCCTCTCTAGCATGTCCTTCAGTCTTTCTCTTTTCTGCTCTAATTTTCTCGGTAGCACTTTTTCAGCTTAGCATATTTATTTGTCTCTTTTCTGTCTCCTCCAGTAGGACTTAAATTCCTTAACAGGAATGACCTTGTCTGTTTTTTTTTTTCACTGCTCTATTCCCAGAGCATAGAATAATTCCTGGAAATTAATAGGCACCTACCAAATACTGGTTGAATAAATAAATAAATGAATAAACAGACACATGCTGGTTTTCTACATTGTTTACCCTATTCTAGATAATTGAATGTATATTAGTATACCAGTTTGTACCTTCTTGTACAAATGTGGGGGTGAGGTTGAATGGTTGAGGTAAAATATGGAAGCACTTCCCATGTTCAGCAGGCACCTGATGAGTACAGTAGTAAGTTTACTAAGTGAGGTGGTCCTTAAGGAGAAGCTCTGTGAGAGGTTTCACTTAAGTTTACTTGTTTTGAGAAAAATTAAAACTCAGTGCCCAGGTTATTACCTCCCAATAGTGCAACATACTCTACTTACCCTCACCCAATTGGTAAACTCTGGCTGTGCTTACAATGTGGTGTAGTGGTATGGAGAGTAAAGGGATAGGGCCTCACCCCAGACCTAGTGAATGACAAACTCTAGGGGTGAGTCCCAGCAACCTGTGTTGTAATAAGCCCTCCATGTGATTCTGATGCATACTAAATTAAGTAAGAAAAAAAAAAGTCTAGAGAAACCCCAACAGTGGTTTCAAGAGTGCTTTTAAATTATCCAAAGAATAGTATTTGTTCACCAGTTACATTTCTAAAAATCCCCCCTTTAAGAAAAAATTTCATGGTTACACATATTATCTTCCACTGCTCTGGTGACCTACAGATTGTAAAAGTGGATGAAACCCTTCATAAAATTCATATGCTTCAGCAAATTGCAATTTCTCTAAAATAATTTTTCAGTTTTTTGTAAATACTGGTCTAGATTTCAAAGTCTTTAATCGGTTTAACTAAACATCAGGTGTTCTAATAACATCAGACACAACACATGTCTGTAAGTTCCACACCAGGCTTTAAAGTCCTCGTGGACACATTCAACATGCTAAAGAAATGAATATCTGTTTAGTAAATTGATGATTGAATGGATGTTTGGACTGATAAAGCTATAAAGACTGAACCAACTTTTCATTTAAACCTGGCTAAAAATCTGACCATCTGACAGGTAACAGGAGCAAGCCAATGATTTATTATTGTATCAAATATCATACTTTACCCTTGATGAGGTGATTACCTCATAAATAGGCCTCTACACAGACATCTTCTGTGTGGATGCTCTGATGTGAACCATTGTCTTGACTTAGTTCTGGTCCTCTCATATCGCTCATTCTCTCCTCCTCTGTTACCATTTTCTGTTGTTCATTACACTATACAGCATTCTTTCTTTCTCAGAATTACTTTCCTCTGCTTTACTATTTACCTAGGATTCTAATTTCATTATTTTTTTTTCTCAGTTCCTCTCATACTTTTCCTTTATATGTTCTTCACACCACACCCCCAAATTCCTTTTTTTCTTGGCCACATGGAGAATGTACTCAATATTTGATAATGGGAATTTCCTGAAGCTTCTACTCACAGTGGCTCCTGCTTTAAAAATGCAAGCCTTTTGAGCATTTAAGTTTCCTAGATTCTAAATGGAGCCCTGTGGTGCAATCGTTAAGCGCTAGACTGCTAACTGAAAGGTTGGTGGTTTGAACCTACCCGGCGGCTCCACGGGAGTAAGACCTGGTGATCTGCTCCCATAAAGATTACAGCCTAGAAAACCCTCTGGGGCAGTTCTGCTCTATCACATGGGGTCTCTATGAGTCGCAAATATACTCGACGGCACCCAACAACAACAATGGATTCTAAATGGAGGACTTTCCTTTACTCTCTGACACACTGTTGTTGTTGAGCGCCGATTCCAACTCATATGACAGAGTAGAACTGCCAGATAGGGTTTCCTTTAATCTTTAAGAGAGCAGATTGCCAAGTCTTTCTCCCCTGGAGATTCTCGTGAGTTTGAACCACTGGCCATTTTTGTTAGCAGCGAAGCACTTAAATATTGCCCCACCAGGGCTCCTTTTAATATACTAACTCCCTTTATTTTCAAATTTCCTCTCTTACCTTTTGTACACTAGCTGAAGGATCTTCTGTTTTTTGTTTTTTCTAGCTCTCTGGCCATTCCTGAGCATTCTCTGTTGCGGGTTTCTCCCTTTCTTCTCATTGAGCCTTGGCCTTTTCCAGTTTTTGTTGCATACTCTCATCACATTAGCCACCTTACCTCCTCTTGTGGTTTCAAATATTCTTTCAGTGACTCCCAGGACATATTTTTCCTTAGACTTATCTCCTCAGCTCCAGGCCTATATCCTACTCCTTACTGGAAACCTCCACTTGAATGTCTCATAAAGAAAAAAAAAAAAAAAACTAAGAAGTTGCCATTGAGTTGATTCCAACTAGTGGCGACTCCGAGATCTTTCAGAATTAGATCACCAGGCCTTTCTTCAAAGGCACCTCTGGGTGGATTTGAACCCCAGCCTTTTGGTTCGTAGCTGAGAGCTTAACCATTTGCACCACCAGAGACTCCTGAATGTCTCATAAGCACCTCAAATTTAACTGGCCAAAAACCTGGCCATCCCCTATCCTTGCATCTAACTAACAACCAATCACAAATTCTTTTTTATCCGATCTCCAGCTTATCTTTTGAATCTATCTACTTTTCTCTAGCCCCGCTTCCACTCTTCTAGTTTAAATCACCACCAGCTCTGTAGCCCTGTCATGATACTTCCCACTTTCAGTCTTGCCATTCGCCCATCCATTGCACACCCATGCATAATTCTTTCTAAAATGCAAATTTGATCATTTAAGATTCCTGCATAAAATCATTTAATAACCTCTTATTAGCCTCATTATCTGCCACTCACCTCAGTGCCTCTATACACTCACTTTTGACTTGATGACAACAAGGTTTTTTTTGGTCCTGTACTGAAAAGCCAGAGGACCTTTAAGGGATTTACACAGATGAATTTGGAAGATGGCATCACCATGATGAAATTTATGATTTATCATTGTTGAGATTATTTATATATGGAG